CACATGGATGTAACCGTGGCATAAATAAGAGAACAGTCAATAAATACTACCAATCTCATAACTCAGAATTAAATACACAATTAAAGTGCCTCGTTATCATAATTAGAAGACATTGGCTAACGGGAGTGTGGTGGCTGCAGGCTATAATTTGGGTGGACAGCAGTGTACACACACATCTGCAGTAGCAGCAGCTGTGGTGAGTTGTGTTATGTGATTATACTGTTTCGCATGTCCGCAAGCTGTAAAACATTTCTGTATTTAACTCACATAGGATAGAAAAGAAAGAAGAAACTGCACAAACCACCACGACATGTTCAACAGGTAGTGACTCAGACTGGCATAAAAAAAACACACACACGCACCAACAGCTGGAAAACTCGTTCTGAGCTCCTCCAACACATTTCCATCAGTAAAATGTTTCCATATGGAATTTTACACCACAGTCGAAAGAGTTTCTTTTGGCTGCACAGTTTTATTTTACTGTTTCCCACCTATTCATTAATAAAATGTTCACTCTTTCCCTCGCTTTCACTTCCCACCTCCCACCTCAGACTCTGCAGAAGTGGGTTGAAGTTCCTCAGCCTGTCAGTGTTTAGAGGAGAAATCTTGCTGTGGTGGGGCTAATAAAGGATTATCTTATCTAATCCTTATCTTATCTAATCCTCCTGTGATGATGTCTGGAGGTGCATGATGGACTTCAGTCACTTTGAGCTGTTTCATTTACAAAGTGTTCTCAGGGGAACACAGCCTCAGATATTGATCTGTGATTATTGGTTTGAACTTGTCAGAGACTTTCAGCACATTAGTTCGAAGGCGTATCCTGTTAAAACCATAATTAGGTTTAATGGCAGTAAAATCCTGTCTCCCTCTGATTCTGATATGATCAGAGTGTAATTACTGTTGCATCCACAGGGGGCAGCAGTTCTTGAAGTCATCAGGTTTGTAGCTCTAACCCCTGGATTCTCAGGGTTTACAGGGACTGGGTTTTCAGTTTGAAAGTCTAAGTCACACTTGAGTTACTTGAGTTAATGTTCAACCATCATCCGCAGAAACCTGCAGCTCACCTGCAGACCCCCAGAGCTGGGTGGCATGTACTGGAAAAATTAGGAACTCTCACTCTGCTTCTATTTCCAGGTACAGTTCTGAAGTGTGTTTGGAAAATGTGCTGTGAGTCTAATGTGTGTACATTCTAATAAAAATATCAAGTGATCATTAGTTTGAGATCACTGGAGGTAAAATACACATGTTTCAATCACAAGTGTTACAAACAATCCTTTTGAATATCGCAAACCTGTAGTATATTATTGATATTTTTGAGTGCATGTGTCCATCTATCTATCATTCTATCTATCATTCTATCTGTCTATCTATCTATCTATCTATCTATCTATCTATCTATCT